TCTCCGTGACCCTCGAAATCTCATCCCCAGCCGGGGGTCGGACAGGAGCACGCTCCGGTAATTGCGCCGGGACCCGGCGGAGCCGACACTGAGCCGCGGTCGAAGGCCGTCCCATACTCGTCTCATAGCCTCGGAGCGCACAAGCCGTGATCCGCGGCCGGGTCGGTCGCACCTGAGCCCGCCGGCGCCCGCCGGCCGCCAGGTGCCGACGGCCGGCCGTCGTCGGCCCCGACGAGGCTGCGTCGCGACCAGACTGAGCTGCTCAGTCGGTCCGCGGGACGCCCGTGCTGGCGGAGGTGGTCGACGGGGCTGGCCGGTCGGACCGCCGCAGTCGCGGCGCAGCTCTGGGACGTGCCCGCTGTAGCAAGCCGGTGTTGTCTGTGACATTGGCACAGACTCGGCCGCTGACACTGTCCAATGACACTGTGAGCGTTGCAGCCAGCAGCACAGTCCCTTGACACTGTGACAGCCGCAGCTGCCGGCACCGTCCCGTGACATTTTGGCCAGGCAGTTTTGGGGACAGTTTGTGGCACTGTGACCACCGCAGCTGTGTCGGCTCTCTGACACCGTAGCAGCAGCAGCTGCAAATACACCTCGACACACCTCTCGACACACCGCCGCACCCACGGGCTCACGCCGCGGCCGAGTTCCGGACCATGTGCGCCATGGCCGCCCCGACCGACCAGGACGACTTCGAGGTGATGAAGAACAGCTACCGCTCGTCCACGTCGAACCTGGCGCTGAGCGAGGCGCTGCAGCAGCTGGAGGAGAGTCGCGCGGCGCCGCGCAGTCCCCGCAGCCCGCAGGCGTTCCACCTGTCGCGGGCGACGCGCGCCAACACGGCGCCCTCGGCCGTGGGCGCGACGCGCGGCCGCACCGTCGACCGCTCGCCCAGCCCGCGGACGCCTCGCAGCCCGCGGAGCCCTCAGCCCGCGCAGCCCGAGCGTGTCCCGCTCGCCGTCCCCGCATCCGAGCAGGTGAGGTGGCCGAGGGGAGACGCGGCAGCGACGGTCAATACGGGCCGCCGGCCGGCCGCCGCCAGGAAATGAGGCGATCGGAGACAGCGTCCCGTCCGGTCCCCACATCGGCCAGCCGCCGGATAATGCCCCGTCTGTTGACGCTCGCCTCGAGGCGGTGTTGTGGTCCGGGCTCGTTCTCGAGATGAGCACGTCGGTGGTCGGCAATGAAAACAGTGCCGTGGGGCTGTCCGGGGAGGCGTTAATCCAGGGGTGTCAGGCTGAGCGGGCAGGCCTGTGGCGTTAACGGTGTTGTTCTGCTGTGGGAAATTGTCCTTGAAGAAACGATAACGAGTGGAAAATTTGGGTTGTGCATGCAAAACAAGCGCATTTATTATTCGTCGAGAAGACGCTGCTGTCGTGCAGAGCTTGGCAATGCGAAAAGTTCCAAACAGAAACATAACAACGATCCCGACTAAATTTTTCCCCTGGTAATAAAGACATGTCAGAATAACTATGAAATAGTAATGCTGTATCAAATGCATTTCCCCAATTACATACTTTAATATTCATTTCTACGTTAAACATCATTACTCACATTCAATCCATTTTTTCCACCAGCAATCATACATGACTCCGTCTTTGATTCTCCATACTCCAATTGTCTTTGATCATAGCGGCTCGTTTTTTAGCTAATATTTCAATGATAGGTCATTTTAAGACGTTTTAGAGCTGCATTAACCAAGTCTAAAAACTACTGCACGTGGAATAAACCTGAGAAGGGGTGGCCGCTTCATGCCTTCGTGTTGTAACTGCAGTTTGCTTTCCCTCTCCTGTCAACCGACCAACAATAACAATACTTTGACTTTACACACACTCTCAAGAGCCCGTCTGGATGAAAACGCGCGAGGACACAGACTGCCAGCATCGAGCCAAGTCGGGTTGTGGGAGACATGCGGCACAAATCTGGTGCCCCATCTGTGATGTGCTGCTCTCGCACGTGGTGGGATGCCTCGGCATCTGGGCAGCTTCAGCGTATCCCAGTCGCGGTGTTTATGAATTGTAGAAGCACTCGCTCGTCCGCTTCATTTTTAAATCCGACGATCCTTCCGATCCTTCCAATTTCCGTTCCATTTCCATCGTCCCAGTCCTCAACTAAATTCAAGACCGCGCCGTCCATCAGCAGCTCTACAGTAATCTTTCCAAAAGCCACCTCCTTATTCCTATTCAGCACGGCTTCCGCTCCGTCACTCGACGGAAACCGCACCGACCACAATGTCTTACCACCGTTCATTCGCCTGTGACCATTAAGATGTCTTTCTTCTGTTCCCACTGGAATTAGACCAATGTTTCGATGCGAGGGACCACTCAAAACGTCGATCAAAGTTAAATCTTCGTAGCATCGACTCATCCTGGTTTTCTGACGTTATCCTTGTTTTGAATTTTCGGAACGAAAGGCTGAGTGTGAGTTTCAGTTACATTAAAATAAACGCAAAATATTGGCATACTTGCGACGGGTGTGAAATACGAAGAGACCAAAAAGTTGCAACTTACATGCAAGTTTGCTTGCATGGCTATGGGTTCAGGGTATCTGCTGAACATAGCTTGTTGCATATGCCCTGAACCCACCATCGAAGCTGTGTCGTTCAATTCATCGGACAATTTTGCATCTGCCCTTTCGCCGAACAGGGCTGCAGAGGCCTTCAACTGCCGCACAATACTACGGCACGGCCGCCCGGGCCTGAGTTGACCCTTGATGGCCAGTTACCAGCAAAACATTCCCAGATCATTTTCGTCGAGCAATATGGGACCCGTGCCATGAGTCGCTGGATTACGAATCCAGCATCTTTTCCAAGACCAAAAAGCCAGGATCTGGATAATGTAAAAATATTCCCCCACTGCCCAAGAGCGTCAGCGTTTTTCAATGATCGTTTTCAGACCTCTTTTCTGCTGGGTCAACGACATCGGCCCGTCCGCCGAAGACGTGATGGCTGTCCACTGCGCCGACGACACTCAAATAGTGGCAAAAATCCTGACATTCAGAAAGTCGTCGCTCGCATTGAACGAGCCATGGTCTCCCTCAACATTTGGTTCCAAACAAAATGGACCCAAAGTAAATGCCGCCAAAACCGAACTGATGTTTTTCGGTATCGCACGAAATCTGCGCAACGCTTCGGAATTACAAGACAAATTCCGCGCCTTTGACCTACTCCTCATTTTGGAGGCCTAAAGTCGTGGCCAAAGCCTTCACCGCTCTCTCAGTTCGGACTAGCACGTTGCCATGGTAACTAGGGTCCGCTTTGGGGCCCTGAGTGGTCAGTCACATCTGGCGGGGTAACCTACCAGTACCACCCGCCATCATCTCTGCGGCGAGAGCCCCAGCCTTCTCACAGATCCGTTGGTGCATTTCGAGAGATGGCAACAACACAAAACAGGGCCTCTTTCGCCACGAAATTGCCAACTTATCGACGACAGTAATTTTTGGTCGTAGCAAACGACGGCCGTACGTCGGGTCTGGTAAGGAGGATGACGTGAGTCATCACAATCTCACATTGTCTTAAGCACAACTGTGCCGTTACGGTGAGCGGGCCGGAGAGCTGGCAGCAACCTCACCGCTGCTGCGGAGACCCGACACCGCACCACCCGTCATGCCTTCCCTGGCGTTCACCGCGGTCCCGCGCTGGGCTGGGTAGGAGGCGTGACGGCTGTCGGGGTCGGACGCTCTGCAGCGTGCAGCCGCCGAAAGTGCTGCGGCTTCCCGCGCCGCTGTTGAGCCGTCACCTCAGGTGACGTCACGTCTGGTGACGTCACGTCTGGTGACGTCCGTCTGAGGCCTTCCAAGGCAGATCGACTGATCGGAGGGTCGATCTCGCTTCATCATCTCTCCGACTTGACGGCATTTGTTGCAAGAGGTTTGCGATAAACACGCGAATGACCACATTTTATCCGGCAGGGGCAACGCTCAGCATATATAGCGTCAGACAACTTCTTTGATGAGAAGTATGGGGCATTTTCGAGTGCTTTTGTCTCTTCAGAAAAATTATCGTGTGATAACAAACCATGCTGATGCGT